CAGACTGAAGATCTGAAGGTCGCGTGTTCGATCCACGCTCACCGCAATAGCATTTTGTTTTTGTTATTATCTGAACTGATTCCACTGGGCCTCACATTAAAGCTTAAAGAATAGTCTATTGATATGAGCCCTTTTTACAGGCTTCCAACATCTAAGGTCCATAACATTGTTATGCAACCGCCCAATACTCCAATATATATTAAAAAAATTAGAGTTCTTATGCAATATTTCTTTTTCTTTTTTAAAAAAAAATTAATAATAATATATTCGTATCAAAATATTTTCACTATTTATTTCAAAATAAAAACCTTTTAATTTCTTTATAATAAGAAAATGTTATTTTTGTTTTTATTATATTTCATATTTTGATAATTTTATCGTATGATAATTCAATTAATAAAATAACTTATTAGTTCGTTCCATACTTGTGTTGCGTCTTAATTCATCTAATATTTTATTAAAATTAATCACTATAATAAAACTATGTATACTATAAAATTAACCAGGTTCATGAGATTCTGTGTTATATATTTACATAATATGAAAACGATCCCCATGTGATAAGAAGCTTTAATCGGCAATTCAAAGAGGTTGCTTCTCGGACAACTAAGTGATGTGGTTTCCGACTTCTTTTTAATCTTAAAAAGCCACTTAAGTTCCACTGGCTTCCGAGAAAAAGGCAAGGGCTACAAATGCCAAGTCCCATTGTTCATCAAGGCAGAATATTCAACGTGGACAACGTCACTTCAACCCGAATGACACAAGGCTTCATGAGCACTATTTGGCTCAACTGCCCTTCTTCCAAAAGACAAACTTTTGGTTTGAAAATCTCAAGACTTTTCCCTTGTCGCCATGGAATGATTGTTTTGAACCATATTGGATAAGATGAAGTAACTTGAAATGGAGATGACGATGGAGATGGGTGAAGTGAATATGGAGGAGAAGGAAATGATAATTGTTGAGGTTGTGTGGACAGTAATGGAGGAACTGAATGTGGAGATGGAAGAGATAGAGATGATAATTGTTGTGGATGTGTGGATGGGGATGGATGAAGTGAATGTGGAGATGGAAGAGATGGAGATGATAACTGTTGTAGTGTCTTGATGGAGATGGATGAAGTGAAAGTGGAGATGGAGGAGACGGAGATGATAATTGTTGTGGATGTGTGATGGAGATGAATGAAGTGAGTGTAAAAAAGGAAGAGACGTAGGTGAGAAGTTATTGATTTTGGACTGACTACTTAACATAGAACCAGACTTGATATCACCACTTTGAGCTAAAGGAAATATTGTCTCATTAAACTTGACTTGCCGAGAAAAATATATACGACCATGAGTGTCTAGACACCGATAGCCTCTATGAATAGTAGAGTATCCAAGTAAAGTACACACATCATACCTAAATTGTAGTTTATGTTTGTTATAGGGTCTCAAAAAAGGACAACATTTACATCCAAACACTTTAAAGAAAATATAATCCAGTATTTTATCAAAGAGCTTTTCATAAGGCGACATGCCTGACAAAGCTGAAGATGGTAACCTGTTAATGAGGAAGACTGCACTAGAGAATGCATCATTCCAGAATTTGAGTGCATTGAGGCTTGAGCAAGTAAGGTAATACCAACCTCCACAATTTGCCTATGCTTTTTCTCGACTATTCTATTCTGCTCTGAGGTGTGAGTACACGGAAGTCATGAAAAATACGTTGCTGCTGCAGATATGACTTAAGAGCTGAAAAATAACCCCCGCAGTCTGATTACAGAGTCTTCATTCGAACATCGAGCAACCTTTCAGCTTGCTTATGAAACTGTATAAAAACCTCATTAACTTGGGTTTTCAATTTAATAAAATAAACCCATGTATACATAGTATATGCATCAGTGAATGCAACATAATACTTGAAATTATTGGAAGGAATAGGGGTTGGTCCCCAAACATCAGCAACTACTAACTCTAAAGGATAACTATAAATTGTGCTAGAAGCGGGAAATGATAAACTTGTGAAATTTACCTAGCTGACATGCATTACAAAGGGAAGAATCCGAACCAACTTTTTTATTTGTATTAAAAGAAATATTACAATGAGACAATGCTTTAGCTAGGACATCATAAGAACGATGTCCAAGCCTTTGGTGCCATATTTCTATGGAAGCACCCTTATTAACAACAACATGACAAGTAACAAACTCATTACTAGTAGTAAAAGCAGAAGACACACTGTTTGAAATAAAAGAAGACTACTCACAAACATTCTGAAATTTATACATACCATTATATTCATTTCCTTGAAGCAGTATATGCCTTGTGCTCAAACTCGGACTTGATAGTGAGACGGATAAAATTCAAGCAAGACTTGATTATCTTGAGTGAACTTAGAAACAAAAAACAAATTTTTAGTAATATCAGTTACACAACATTTCCTGATTGTAAAAATCTAGCATCAATTATTAAGATAGACCGTCTCACACAAGTAATAGGTATACAATTACCATCCCCAATTTGCACCGTTACCTGATTCAGGATAAATGGAATCGGGTTACAGAAGAGTAGAACTCTTGGTGATAATATGGTAGGCTCCAGAATCAAGATACCATGCGTTATCATCTACCACTTCTGGTGTAGCCATGTGAACTTGAGGGGAAGGCTGAACTGGAGATGCAAATTGAGAAGTAAGCTGATTTGGAAAGAGCTGCTTTGAAATCAAGTGAGATGGAACTGAAGATTTAGTGTGCATTAATGGCAGTTGAGGCTGAATCTGAGACGAATGAAGACAAGTAGGATTATTAAAGTAAATGCAAATATTATCATTAACAGTTCCCAAAGTGAATATATTAGCCTGAGCATTTCGGTTAGAGACATACTGAGACGATCTATATGACTCATTTTTATGTCATATCAAACCGAACGTAACACCTTTCTACGAGGTGTCCTATCATTTCGCACAACTGATGTTGGTGTCTGGACAAGTTTATCCCTCGTCCTCTGCCACGATTGTTGCAACTATAATTGAAATTGTCAGAAGCATAACTATTAAAAGTTGTAGAATCAATAGAAACATCATGATGAACAGATGTGAGAGGAGGAGTAAAACCACTACTCTGTTGAGTGGTAACAAAAGCCAAAGCATTTAAATGATTAGAAAAATTAATTTACCTTGATCCACAACAAGAAGAATAGTACAAACAGATGAAAGATCAAAGGTGGCAGAATTCGTAGTGATAGCAGTAATTACTGGATCGTATTCAGCAGGCAAACCATTTAGAATAGCAGAACATGCTTATGCTCAGAAATAATTTCTCCACAACTTGCAAGATTATCACAAATAGATTTAACATTCATCAAGAAATCCCTCATGCTCATATCTCATTTCTTTTGAGAATGAAGCAACCTTCTATAGGACATTAGTCTAGAAGTAGTTTTACTACTGTACAACCTATGTAAGGTATGCCAAATACCAGAGGCAATATTTAATCCAATGAGATGAGGTAGCACGCTTTCACTAACTGCAGATAGGAGCAACGTGGCAAGAGCCCCATCTTGCTCTTCAAGTAGTTCAAATTGAGGATTTATACTCATTACACCATCTTGAGTAACATGTTGAGGAGGACAAGACAATTTGTTGCCAACGTCTCTAAGAAGCCTATGAGTTTTGGTTGTTAAATAAACATGTTGATGCCATAGTAGGTAATTATCATCATCTAAGATCACATTAATCTTCTTGGTATAAAATAACCTACTAGTGGCAAGAAGATCAACACTAGGAGTACTAGTAGTAGAAACAAGAGCAGTATCATGAAATTGCACATTGTCAGAAGACTGAGTAGTCATAGCTGGATCAGTAACATTCACCATGATACCAGATAAAGCAAACAGAGAAAAAATATAGCACCGAAGATCAACAAATAGAGAAGTAAATATAGCAAAACAACACCATAGAAATTTCAACAAATTCAAAAAGCATCCAATACAAGAACTAATCAGAGATAGATAATACGAAGAGAGAAGAATCGGATATCACCGATAAAGCAACACAGTCGCATCCTTTGAAATGAATCATCAACATCAAAGAGCAACACTAAAACAATAGCAAAGAACAAACATAATCAAATCGTCAACCACCAATGAAGAGCTTTGATCAAGTAAATCTGGTCAAGATTCTCCACCAGAGGTGACAACAATTCGTAACGAGACATCGGATGCACATCGAAGTAGGAAGATCTCGGCAAACGATACCATGAAAGATTATAACAAGCTCAAACTATAAGAGAAATAGGACAAGAACAGTAAAAGGGAATAAGAAGGCTTCGAGGGATTTTGACTAAAAAGAGGATTAAAGTTTACTTTAGAAAAGATAAACTGTATTATTAATGTTTGATTAAGAACAGCCCATGCAACACATATTTATACAAGCCTTTACAATAACAGGGCTTAGCAACCTTTAACAGATCAGTAATCAACTCAACAACTTGCCAAGCTTGGCACACATTGCCAGCTTGGCAGATTAAGCATACACTACACTCTATCAGCAACGCCATGATAAACACAGAGAAGGTAGATATGAAACCAAAGGCTACAACATTTTACAAAGGGAAAACATTGAAGGTTGCATTACATTTCAGTAAGCATGAAATATTATTAAGAAAAACACTCGAAGGTGAAACCAGATCCACTCAGTTTTTCTTCCAAAATGTCAGTGAAACGTTCCACAGCAGCAGGAGCCAGATGATTAACATGGTCACTCACTTGTCCCGTCCTGAAAAACACCTTATGACTTGATAATTTAGACCCGGTGATTCTCCTAGTTTTGTTAACCTCCAAATCTTCCAGATTGTTGAAGCTGTAGAAATCAACAATTTACTTAACCAATCCCGTTTCTTCTTCTTCCATGGAGAAAGGAAACCCAAAAAAATCAGCCAACCTCTTCGTTTGACCCACCGGATCTTCCTTCAGCTTTTCATATCTCATAAACAACACCTTCCATGGCTTCTCCATGCTTACTTTTCAGTACCCCAAAGCATGGTCCCATAAAGGTCCAAATGTTTCTTCGCCTCTGCAAAATAACTTGAAACAGTCCTCCAATGGCCAATCAGCAATATTTAGTGTACCTTTAAAAAGCGCCACTGTGAGACAATGATGTCGAAGGGATTTCAGACCATATAAACAATCCGATAATTCAAACGTTTGACGGAATCGACTAACGTTGTGTACGGAAGATGAGATGTTAGAGAGATTTGGATTAGGGTTTTGGTTGAAAAGATTGATCTCGAAATAAGGGACCGATTTACGAGGGTTTGCAGAGTTCAAGGGGGAATTTGATAAGGTGTAGCGGTGGCGGTTGAAGATGGTAAAGACCAGAGCTTTGAGCCAAGTAATGCCGACTTTGGGCTTGCTGGCGACGATGATATCATCGTCAAGAGCTTGGAAATGTTTCTGAAATGATAAGATGAAAGGAACATGTTGAGAAGGGGTCCAAAACCCTTGGCAAAGCCTTACATTTTGCACATTCAGAGATGGATTTGGGGTGGATGACCCTAGGCCAAGCCTGCTTTGCTCCTCTTCCATCAAGGATACAAAACATCAAGAATAAATATAAAATTCTTGCTAAAAAAATCTCATATAAAGATGTAAATAATTGGTTTCCAAATCCTAACCCAATTATTACTTTTTAGTAAAATTTAGTTTAAAATAAATTTATTAAATAAATAAATTTTCATTTTAAAATTCCACCTAACCCAATTAGTAGGTAAGACTACTATAATGATGATTATCATAATTTAATTATCTGTAGTTTATTCAAAATCTTCATGTGAGGAGGAAAATCAATTTGCTCCTTTGCTAAATCTACTTTAATGTGGGAGCAGATGTGAATAGATGTAAAAAAAAAATAGAATACGACATAATAACAAGTACCACCGGGCTTGATTAAAGTATATCACATGCTTTATGATAATCATTATTATTAATATGGGTTAATGGTCGATTAATAGTATCATTATTCTAAACGATCAATTAATCGTTATAACGGTTATTAAGTTTTATTAATTATAATTTAATCATTATGAGACGGTTAATAGTTAACGGTTAATTACAAATTAACATGCGGTTAAAATACTATAGTTTTTTTTTCAAACATAATACAATACAAAAGTTTTATAGTTTCATAAAATATACGAAGATAGAAATATAAATCATTGTATAAATCTTATTTATTTTTAGATGTATTTTATTTTTAAGAAAATATATATTATAAGGTATATTCATTTTTCAATTAAAATCAAGTATTTTCTTCCATCCATGGTTGATTTAATGCACTCCAATATAGGATAAACATGATAACTAAAAAAATAGGGAGATATTGTAACACCCTAATTCGATATGACACAAAATCGGTCGATTAGAATGTCATATGGGACCACCGGAGTGGCTAACAGAAAATTTTTCTTTAAAAACACTTGTAAATCATCAATTTACTCTAGATAAAAGATTCAAGATATACTCTACTGCTGCTCGAACTTCCTGGAACATTAACTGTGCGATAGCTCCTCAAAAGCTTCTCCTAAGAACCTGCGCACGGAAATAAATTCTGAATGCTAGGCTCACTAGCCCAGTGCCATACTAACAACTAAACCATACTAAAAGTGTTACATAAATTCTCATGCTATCGCATGCAATAAAGAAAGTAAGTATACTTGTATACTGCACACTAGTCTAGGGTAGACATCATGGTGTGGCTGGAAGGTTACATATCTTGTGACACACACCCTTCTAGTCTACCTAGGGTAAGGTCTGGAATCTTTATATCAGACACCACACCCGACTAACCCACCCCTCGTGAGTGTTCGGGACTCACGCCCTAGTTAGTCTCAAAGTGTCTCACACACTTGCTTAAGGATATATATATATACTCTATACCTCGACTATAGTTATCTGCTAAAGTAACTCGGGTGTCATGATCGCTTTCCCTAGCGTCAACCATGACTAGTTTTATGTCGTCCTAGTTGATATTGTTTCTATATATGATTGCATAATAACAAGGTTCTCACTTTTAGTTTTATATGATAATGTTTTAATTACATTGGGTCCTTCAATAACATTTCTGAATCCCATGGGTTTCTTGCCCATAAATGTGCGATGGTACCGATAATGAGCCCCTTTATTATCGGTATTGACCCAAGGGGATCGATACTCGCCCTTGGGTATCGAATACTTACATGATGATTTCAAGCTAGGAAAGAAGGGTAATATCGATACTCTTAAGCAAGTGTCAATACTCTTGAGCTAGGGTATCGATACTATAGATAGTATGATACTAAATTTTTCTTTGATGTTTTGAAAAATACCTCAGTATCGATATTCCTAATGGGAGTATTGATACGCTACCCTTAATATCGATACTCTCATGAGTATCGATACCAAAATAACCTACTAGAATCTGCCAAGTTTGCTTGGTATTGATACCACCCTATGAGTATCGAGACCTGACTAGCAGTATCGATACTCCTTGGATGAGTATTGATAGTTCCCTTCCTAAACTCTCCTATTTTTAAGCCAGTTGATGAACAATATCGGTATTGTTCTTTCAGTACCGATACTCGAACCCATGAAGGCCCTATTTAGGCACGAAAATGACTCCCAAAACCTACTAAGGTTCCCAAACATTCTTAGTGTTTTATGTATGAAAGAAGAGGTCATAATAGGTATTTATACATACTAAAAGAAGTAAATGCTTGAATCTACCATGGATGCTCATTCATGCTTTACAACTCAATACTCACTAGTTAGATGCATTCTCGTGACTCACAAATGGTATGAAAGAGTTTGTGGATGTGTTACCTTAGTTTCCTAGTTGTTGTAAATGCTCTCAAATCAACTAAGGGTCAATTTCTCTTTTGCTTTAGCCTTGGAGCTTTCTATCACTAATCAATGTTAAGGAAAATGAGTTACTAACTCATCTAGAGGCTCAAAAAGATTAGAAATATGGTTTCAAACCTCTAAAAATGGATTGGGATCACTAAGGAAATCCCAAAACCCACATTAAACCCCCACCTAGGCAATCCCATGGTGAAAACTTATAATAGGAGGCTTGGATGAAAGCTTTGAAGATTGGGATTTCGTTTCTTACCTTAAAAAAATCTAAGATGTGATTAGAAATTTACAAGTATTCACCTTTGCATAATGGTTAGAAGAAGAAGATTTATGAGAATGGAGAAGATGAAGTAGGGGACAAAGAGAACTAGAAACGAGGGGAAAAGAGAGTATAAAAATCAAATCAGCCTTTAGAAAACTTTAAGGACAAACTACCATTTTGGTCCTTCCATTATACGTCAAAATCTAAAGATACTCTTTTTATGTCTAGATGGGCTCAAGCCCAATTCATGGGAAGGCCAAACTAGCCCCCAAACATTTTATTGGTCTCCTAGCTTAGAGGCCCAATCGAGTTACCTGAAACATTTAATTGGAACCTTCCTTTTTCAGAGACGTATACAGTCAATTAATTACATTGGTAGGGTAAGTAAAATTTTGAATTGATTCATTATTTTATTATTTTTATACAATTTAAAATACATGTTTCAAAGTATCTTTAATAATTGAAAAAATATATCTAACGAATAATCATAAATTTTAACTTATTTAAAATAGACATGTAATCTAAACGTATGAGACTTAGAATACCAAGGATTAAGTAAATATTAAAAAATTATGATAGTGTGTAAAATTAATACAGTTTACATTAATATGAACAGATGCTTTATACTAGTAAATTACAACTTTCGTCACTCAATTTTATCTTCACTCTTATTTGGTCACTGATGTTTAATTTTTAACATATAATCACTAAACTTTAGACATTATATTTTTCTTTCATTCTACAGTAAGATAGTTAATGGCGTTGTGACATAGTAGTCGATATCAAACTAATGTAAAATTTATTATTTTCATTTTATCTTTTCTTCATCTTCTACGGTCGATAATAGATGAAAGATGTCAAAATTTCATAAAATCAAGTGTTTTTGTACCACTGAATGCAAATATAATTTCAATATAATTGAAAAACACCTCAAACCCCACAAATTTGATCTTAAACATGATGATATTTTGTTCTTCGATCTGTGTCAAATAAAAATATAATTGTCTGTCTCGGGTGAGATCTCTCTATCGTTGGAATCTTCGAATGAAAGCTCTGTTCACTGGAGATATAATGAGGGTGATTTCCTTTCAATAAACCCTGGTGGAAACTTTTAGATAGAAGAGTTGGTGAATTTTATGGTGCCTCGGTCATAGTTGCACCCATGCATCTACTTATGAATCAACAAAAACTTCCTTCCGACAGGTAAGAAGAACGAGGGGTTCGTAGTAGATGGCAAAAGAGAACGCTCCCAGCTTTCAATTTTTGTTTGACGAGGGGATTGCGATTTGCGAAGCGACACTGTAGGTGTGATGTCTCTGGTTTTAAACTAAGAAACCATATGTACCATTCCTGTCATTACCTGAAATACTGACTAAAAGTTTTGGTAAAATTTTTACACGTTGATATTGATTACAAATTTGGACTAAATTGTAATAAGTGTAAAATTTTAGTGGCAATTTCATAATTTTTCAAAAACAATTTGAGCCATTTCTGGAACCCTAGAGTCCGAGGACATCTCTTCTAGTTTTCCCTGTTTTTCTTTAAATTTTTTTTTCTACATATTGAACCAGCTGAATACTTATAAAAGTTTATGAGGTTTTTTCTAAAATATTTAAAGTTAGGTTCATCAATAGATTCAATGATACATTAATAGAATAATGGTATTGATAATTTGAAGAGGGATGTAGAATGTTTTAAAATTTAAGAACTAACTTAGAATGAGATCGTGATCTGGAATTGATATATAACATTTTAAAAATTTAGGGATCAATTTAAAATGAAAATAATACTTTAGGGATCTCCTATACAAATCAAAATTTTGGGATTTGTATTAAAACTTAAGGGTGAGACATATATATATTTAACATGTAAGCATGAAAAAGTGGAAAAATAAATAAAAAAATATTAATATTTTAAATCTAAATTTTAGATAATATTTTTCAATATATATATATATATATATATATATATATATATATCAATTATTATGGTTTATTCATTTAATTTTTATATATAGATCATTTAAATATAGTATGGTTAAGTTTTTAAAAAAATATTATACTTAGTGGTACATATAAATAGAGCGTTTAATGAACTGTTCGTGAGTCATTTGCATGATGTTCGTTTGAATTAAATAAGTGAATATGAACAAATTTTTTATGTTCATTTAATAAACAAATGGACAGAAACAGAGGTGTGTTCGGTTCGTTTATATTCACTAACAGGCTCATTTGTCGACTTGTTTATAAGCTCGTTTACTCGATTCTCCCTTTTCTTTTATTTTTTACATTTTTAATATTAGTGAAAATAGGGACTAAATTGAAGATAAGGTAAACTTTAGAGTTGAAATTGTGAAGCCTAATAAACTTAAAAACTAGTGGTGTAGTTTTACCATTTTTTCTTTGGTTTGCAAATAAAATGGTTAAAAGATTGT